CAGGCCTTCACAGGCTCCTCACACTGGCCCGACACCCTGTGATGCTGTGGTTGGGAGTTCCAGGCACCGAGTGTGTCCAGTCCCTGCTCCTGCTGCTCCTGTCGGGTACGGCAACACCCAGGGCCTCAACCACGGGCTGAGCTCCACCCCAGGTGGACCAGACTTTGAAATACATTGTTTTATCCACTTAACCTTGTTTTGTGAAGACTACACAAAATCCATGTTTTTGTGTTTGTTTTTTGCTTTTTAGTTTATTTTTGTAACCCAGGCTAGCCTCCGTCTTTCTGTCTCCACCTTCTGTCCCTGCCTTTCTAAAGCTGGGATTACAGACTGTGTGTCTTCTTCACACCCTTCTCATCTTTTACATTAGTTAACTTAATTATTTAGTGTGTATGCTGTTTTGTCTGCACCTTGTGGGAGTCCAGTGCCTAAGATGGCCAGAAGAGGGTGTCAGATCCCCTAGAACTGGATTTTACAGACACTTGTGAGTTCTGGGAACTGAACCCAGGTCTTCTGCAAGAGCAGCCCATGCTCTTAACTATTGAGCCATCTCTTCAGCCTCCATGTATCTTCTTTGTAATTTTTTGTTTTTTTAAATAGAGTTTCTCTGTTTTAGCCCTGGCTGTCCCGGAACTCACTCTATACACCAGGCTGGCCATGAACTCACGGAGATCCACCTGTCTCTGCCTCCCCAGTGCTGGGATCAAAGGCATGTGCCATCACCGCCTGGCTTTGTAATCATTAAAAAACAAAAAACAAAACAAAATTAAAAACAAAAAACTATTTTTTTGTGTGGATGTGTGTGGGCAAATCTGGAGGTCAGAGGACGGGAGTCGGTTTTCTGTTTATCGTGAGTTCCAGGAGTTTGTACCCAGGCCGCAGGCTTGGTGGCAAACTGCTAACCTGCTACTCATGCACCCTATGTCTTCTAACTTTCAAACAGTTTCAGGAAGTACATGGGCTTGAGTCTGAGACTCCTCTAGCTTTTCACTCCCGAGATGGTCTAGGACAGTTTGTTTACCCAGTGTGTTGGTGGGCACTTAGACTCACACTGCTTATTCTCCTGTCTCAGCTTCCTAAGTGCTAG